TTTCCCCTAAGAATAATCATGATGAAAAAAACTTTAGTCGTACATCAACCCAATTGTTTTTTTTTTTACTATATATATATATTGTGATATAAACTACAAGTTCAGATCATGTTGGAAAATTTGATTCATACTGAAAGTGCCATCATATGACTGTTTCCACTTCAGATCAGCTTTGGCGCCACCAGCGACAAATTCAGCGACAAGCGAGTCTACCCGTCCTTCTTCCGCACGGTACCCAGTGACACATGGCAGGTTAACGCCATCGTGCTTCTTCTGAAGGAGTTCTCATGGAACTGGGTGGCGGTAGTGGGCAGCGACGAAGAGTACGGCCAACAAGGCGCACAAGAGTTCACCAAAAAAGCCGAGACCACGTCGACATGCGTGGCCTACCAGGGCATGATTCCAGTCTACACTGACCCTGTGAAAGCGGTCAAAAATATTGTCGACAACATCCAAGCCACCAATGTCAAAGTGGTGTTGGTCTTTTCTCTTCCAGACCCAGCTGAGGTCTTCTTTAAAGAGGCAAGTTATGATCATGCAAAACATACAGGCACCTATAATGATACACTACCCGTTCCTTTTCAAAATCAGTTTTCTCCAACTTGTATATGAATGAGTCTCGATAGTAAAGTGCATCAGTGACTGCAGTGGATGCTAGTGTTATTCTGCCACCCACTGGACATAGATGTTCTTTCTACACTGCTACACTTCTGGCCTGGTGGGTGGCAGTAAATGTGACCAGACGCTCGCACCAACTGCAGTGACACGTACAACTGGGACACCACGACTTTGACAATTTTTTATTCTTTTGTTTTGTTCAGAACATATTTCATACCTTACTTCATATCACTGCCCCCACCCGTCCCTGTGTTTCAAACGTTTACCCAAATGCATGTAGACGTGTCATCAACAGCTTGGAAAAAAAATGAATACAATTTTTCTCATAGCTGATGAATCATAAAAACAAAACTTTGAGGGCAGTTGTCATATCCGGAGGGTTCTTGGTGACCAAAATAAATGAATATAAGGGCATTGACATTATTAAATATAAATTAATTAATTACGGTAATTTAACCCTGTCATGCACCCTGTAACCTGATAACATGGTAAGCTGTTTACTGTAGTCACCGCTGTCCCTGAAAGGGTTACAGGGGAGTTAGCAGTTTTAAAACTGCTAACAAGATTTGGATGGAGCCTCACATCTTTTCAGACTTTCTCATTCGAAGAAAACATTTTCTTGTTCGGACTAGAAACGTTTTCATCATGATGAGAAACATATTTGCACCCCACCCTACCCCACCTGTCACTTTAGGGGCTCCATAATATTGAACCAATATAATCAACTGAATGTATTTATTTCAACTTTCATTTTTACATCTATATGGCATATTTACTTATTTAAAATAAATAATTTTTAATTCTTTTCTTTACATTTCTGTATTTCATGGCATTCGCTTTTAATTATTGATATTTGTCTTTATTTAATGACTTACAGTATTTACCGGCACTTTAAATGTGGTTTGTCATGATCTTTTGAATTGACTTATTATTATTTTTTTTTTTTTTTTTGCACAACTACCCATAGTACGAACTGACATATGAAAGGGTTACATTTTGTAGCCATCATTCACAGGTTATCAAGAGGAAAATAAAGGGCGTGTGGATCGCCAGCGCAAGTTGGGTCGTTCACAATCGCCTGACATCCATCCCCGACATCCAAACCATCGGTACCATCATCGGATTCACCTACAAAACGCAAACCCTGGATCTGCTACCAGCATACACGGAGGCGCTCTTTACAAAACTGAGCGAGGAGAAGAAAACGTCCTCTGATGCACAGAAGCTCAACGATCCCTGTCCGAAATGTTGGAACTTATCGCCTGCAAACATGAGCTTAGTCATGAACGCTGCAGTGCAGAGAGCGTCTTTTAGTGTGTATGCCGCCATCTATAGTGTTGCACAGTCATTGCACAACATGTTGGGATGTAACACCACCACCTGCAAATGGGATGCCGAGACCAGAATTCTTCCTTGGAAGGTGAACCTGGTTTTGATACCAACAAATTATTGCCCCTAAATAACTCATTCATGATTTTTATTAATTATTCTCCTTTCTTTTGCAGTTGCTACGAGTGTTGCAGAACACATCTTTTGATATTAATGGGAAACATTTAGTCTTTGACAGTAGCGGGAACCCCAACATGGGTTACGGCGTCATCGAGTGGATCTGGACCGATTCACATTTGGATTTTAGAGTTGTTGGAAGCTTTGATGAAGACCTGTCCATCAACAAGTCTCTTATCAAATGGCACACTGAAAACTCACAGGTAATTCAAAACAAACACTTGCAGAGGACATATGTATGTGGCACATAGAGAGGACACAATGCCAAACATTAACGTCTCCCGTACATTTGCGCCAAACATTGAAATCTAGGGGATTGCTTGAAAAAAATAGTGGCTCTTCACCCAGCCTAGTTGTCAGGTCATGGGCGATATTATGCAAATGACACGCTGCATCACAATCTGGCAAAATTTAGAATGGCTCGCTTTCAAGCACATTTTTAGAACCAAACAAATGACGAAAGATTTACTTGATTGTTTCATTTCACACTCCAGAGATCCAAATATTTGTGTACAAGCATTTAAAAAGTACATTTCCCATAAAATCTCCCCTTTAAGTAAAACACACACACAAAACTGCAATGCCATCACTTTTGCAGGTCCCGGAGTCCACCTGTTCAGCGGCATGTGGGATCGGCCAAGTCCGCAGAGTCAAAGGCTTTCATTCGTGCTGTTTTGATTGCATTGACTGTCTGCCGGGCACTTATCAGGCCAATAAAGGTAATATTTTTGCCTCTCAAATAATTCTTTGAAACGATTAAGCTAAAATACAACTCAACTCATTCTTTTTAATGAGGATCAATGATTCCCACTTCATGAATCTAAGATGGAGCAAAACCTGCTTCTCTCTGTTTTTTTCTTAAACCAGGTTGGATATTTTGACAGATAAATTGCAATACTTAATTTGGATAATACATTTTAAGTTTAATGGAATATAACAAATATATGCTGCCTCGCATGATGTGTCAAAAGGTCATACTACACTAATGGTGTGCAACTCAAAACTTGGGACTTGTGGAGGTATTGTAGAAAAAAAATGTACCAAATGTTTGAAAGTTGAATGTTTGGAAGTATGGGAGCGGTCTGTACAATACTGTATTAGTCAATATTGCAGTGCAAGCGGATAAGGTAACTTAAGGGTTGAGGTCAATTGCTTTTATTTCATTACATGTTAGGAATAAATTCAATAAACACGATAGCCTTGTTGTCTACATTTGAGGGAAATAAAGCAGAATTGTTGCTCATGTTGACATGTCAAGGAATTTGTTTCCGCTGCAACTTGATGTCTGAGGGTTTCCTTTTTATGCTTTCCAATACCTAGAAGACATCCAGTGTACCCCATGCCCAAAAGGCCAATGGTCACACACTCTGAGCACAAACTGCACTGAACCAACCTTTGATGTCTTGTCCTGGGACAAACCTGCCGCACTTCATCTGGCACTGGGCGGGGCACTGCTGCTGCTGTGTCAGGTCGGCGTGGCTGTCGTGCTCCTGCGGCACTGGCGGACCCCCATGGTAGCGGCCTCCGGCGGACCTTTGGCTTTTGTTGTGCTTTTCAGCCTGATGGGAGCTTGCCTCAGCCTGGCGCTCTTCCTGGGTCAGCCAGGTGACGCGCTGTGTCACCTTCAGCTGCCCCTCATCTCCATTTTCCAAACCATTGCCCTCTCTGTTATCGCAGCCATTTCACTACAGGTGATGTGAAAAATGACATTAAGTTATATTGCACAGTGGAACTTTCAACAATGAACACATCCATCACAAAAAAATTATATTTACTGTACTGGAACTGAAAAAAAATTCTATTTTCGCTTGTTTCCCAACGCAGATATTCATAATAGCAGAGTTCCACGACAAGGCTGCCTCTCACCTACAGACACTTCGAGGTCCTGCTTGCTGGCTGTTTTTGATCATCTGCTGTGCCGTACAGGCCGGTTTCTGCGGCTGGTTCATCCAAGAAGGGCCCTCACTGTCGGAGCATGTGGCCCACATGGAAATAAATTTCCTGAGGGCTTTCTTGTCATGTCCGGTGATACCGATGGTCGGACTGGCCTTGATGCAAGGCCTCAACGTTTTAATGGCCCTTATGTCATTCATGTGCACCTTCATGGCAACAAAACCTCCACATCAGTACTACCTTGCCCGGGACATCACCTTTTCAACTCTAATCTACTGCATGATTTGGGTGACATTTATTCCCATCTATATGGGTATGAATGAAAGGAACAGGTATACTATTCTGATTTCCTTTAATATGGTCAGCAACTTTGGACTAGTGGCAGCCTACTATTTCCCAAAATGTTACCTATTGTTGAGGAAGCCGGAGCTCAATACCTTGGAGTTTTTCTGCACTTTTTTGGAGGGTGCAATGCCAGCGAATGAGGACCCACAGCCTCAGCAAGCCCATTAACAGCACTGTATTCCACATTTGTAATAACATCTATTTGTATGTGGCAATTGCATTAATATTAATGTTACTGTAGCCCTTTGTGTCCACTTTGTCAATGTGTGAAATATATCGATGATCACATCATACATACAGTGAGGTATTTTATTCACATCACGTGGGCTAAAACAAACAGGCTGTTCTTTGATTTTGCTTGTTTGACACAGTTCACATCTTAACAAAACGTGTACGGGCTGCTTTATCAATTTCGCATGGAGCCTACAACGTTTGTCCACTCCATTACTGCGTGGATCTGGCACAAATAAATCCTCATTTGGTGTAGTTGTGAATGTGAATATTTTTTAACCATTTTTTTCCAAAATATGAGTCAAAATACAGATTGACAGTGCAACAAAAAATACAAAATAAGTATAATGGTCGAGTTAAAAAGCTCACCCACCAAATTGGTGCTTGCTGCTCGCGCAGTGCTTGCTGGGAAATGAAGTTTCAAGCAACTTAGCGACAGTTACTAACAACTCAAGTTTCAGCTCTCCACAAGGAAAATTCTACTGAGAATACGACCCGGGTTTTCACTTTTTTTTTTAATCGGGTAAGATTACTTCTATTCGAGTATCAAACGAACACCCTTACAGTTAGCGTGATTTTTAACCGAGTATTTTAGTAATACCGTTTGTAGCTACCCACACTAATTAGCTTTTTTTACCTGGGTAATATTAACGTCATACCGATACCGCCATATCATACTTGAAGATCAACACCCGGTAAATTCAAATATGTATCCTGGGTAATATTAACGTCATACCGATACCGCCATACCATACAAGATAAACACCCGGTAAATTCAAATATGAAAAGGAAAACAAGACGGCGACCTCACTGTGTTTTTAATAGAATGAGTTAATGTTTTCAACCATTTGTGTCCTTTAGAGTACTGTGTAAACATGTCCAGGGGAAGAGCAACCAGAAGTGGCCGCTCAGACAGTAGTGATGTAGATGCTGATGGTACAGGTAATACTGAGCTAAATATAGAAGAACATTTCTCAGGTCACAGCATTACATACCCTTGCACAATGATATCTAATACAAGAGCCGTTAAAGTCATTTGTTATTTTAAAATGTACATTTTGACACAACTCTTGGATGAAATCTCACTGAATAGTGGAGCAGTACTGTACTTTATAAAGGCGACTGCTGGTGTTCATGTGTGTTCCTCACGACAAGATCCACTTTGAATATGTGTGCAGAAACTTGTGTGTCATTTTTTTCAACAGAATTAGAGAAATCTAAGCTGCTGAGACACTACCGGATCTTGGATGCAGACAGACAAGCCTACAGCATTCAGGCCCGGCAGCAAATGCGCAAACAACAGTGAGAAGAAAACTTCATCAGTGGTTTTTTTTTTCCATCCAAATGACTCTGTGTTTGTGTTGAAAGGCAGGAGATAGAGAAGCTGACTGCCGAGCAGGAGGAGCTTCGGCATAAGCTTGGTGCTTATAAGAGCTTGTCCCGTCAAAAGAAGGACAAAAGGGATGCAGAGAGCCTTCAAGTGCTGCTGGAGCAGAGAGACCTCCTGGAGGGGGAGCTGGAGAAGGAAATGCAACATCAAAAAGAGCTGCAAAAAGAGGTGAATGACAGTTGAGTTTCTGGGGTGCTTATTCACCTGTCACGAGTGATTAAACAATTAAGTCACATTTTCCCGAGCTGCCTGTGTAAGTACAACTTTGACCGAATGGTACGGCAAAGCTACATAATACACAAACACACACAGAAAAAAAACAAATTTAAATATACACACTGATTTCTTCCGCCCATGACTGCGATGTGAGGATAGGCGAAGATCCGGAGCCATTTCGAAACGACAGGCGAACAACTATGAAACACTTTCATGACAGAGCCAAAAGCTGATCAAAGTGTGATTAATGATGAGAAGCAGCACATTCTTGATTGGTGGGAGAGGGTATTTGTTTTTTTGCAATATGTGTATGCGTACTAATTGACAAGATGTAATTCTGTCGCTTGGTGATGAAGTTCTGCCTCCATACGTGAAAATACAATTGAGGCTTTTTTTGTACTTGTTTCATTCATTTGATTCACATTTCACACTTGCTTTTTTTAATTAGGGCTCACAATGTGGTTCCGCCACTTGTAACAAACTTACCGTACTTCACGTAGTCCTCGCAGCACAGGTAACATAAGACATGACCGCCCTCTCAAAACAGATTTGTTTCCCTGAGGCTAGAAAAAGATGGTGAACAGTGTGCTTTTTGATGTTTAGAGCTTTTTACACCTAAGAACTATTTTAAATTATGAGGAATGCATAAATTGTCTCCCTTAAGTCAGATTGTATTTTGTGTGTCATGTGGGCAGATTTCAAACATGGAGTTTAAGCTGAAAGAGCTGAGGAAAGGGAATGCCAACACAAGTGACACCCAAAGGTCTGCCCACAGGCGGAATCAGGAGGCCATACGCACAATGGAGAACAAACTGCAAGGAGTGAATATCAAATATCAAATTAGCTGTGTGCCTTTACATATTAGCATAAAAATACCAACTCAGATGTGTCTCCTTAGGCCTTAACCCGATTTAATGAGCAGCTGACCAAGAACAGCCACCTCCGGGAGGAGCTGCAGACTCTTCATATTGAGCGTGTTCGTTTCCAGCGGCTGCAAGACAGGCTGATCCAGGTGAACATCTCAGCATATTTCCTAGGACCTGCAGCATCCTAGCAACACAGGTGTTAAATAAAACACTATCTTCCCTGGCTCTTAGTTATAATTGGTTGCTTGCCGCAGGAGCTCCAGGATGTCAGGAAGAAGACTGGTCAAGCAATCAATCTGTCGACTGCAGCTCACGATGCAAGGTACAAGTTTTTAGATTTACTACAAACTTTGTTTGATAGAAAGTATACCAAGGAATGGCACCAAGGCCATGCAAACACTTCTTTTGGAATATATATTTGGCATCGGGACAAAGGTGCAAATACTGGAACTGGTTTTGTGTCACGATATTTTCCACCCCTCCGAATCGTCTTGGTGACATTTATATCGATTTTTTTTCAATCCAGTAATGTCAATGAGTTCATCATTAAAATTCATGAAAAAAATGAATTTGCATTTTTCCAGTGAGAAGGGGACAAAGGTGCAAATACTGGAACTGGTTTTGTGTCACGATATTTCCCACCCCTCCGAATCGTCTTGCTGACATTTATATCGATTTTTTTTTCAATCCAATAATGTCAATGAGTTCATTCAAATTCATGAAAAAAATGAATTTGCATTTTTCCTGTGAGAAGGAAAAACAGGCATTGCATTACATAAATAACCAATGCAAGCAGTTGCACTCACACGACCAACATTGCTGTTTGTCTTTGCAGTGCCAAACATACATGTTGTATCACACATGTACTGCACATGTTGATGTTCAACTGGCTATTACACTTAATTCATATGTGTAACATATTTAGTCTTTCTGATTGGCCAGAAAAGTGGGAAAGCACAATGGGGTCAAGAAAGTACCTTGCCATTGCCAGCATGTGGCAGTGTTGTGCTCCATTGGCCCAATGGTAGAAGTAGCGCAGAGCTATAGACATACTGAAGCTAACCACTACACTGAAAAAACAAAAACGTTTTGTCGAATGTACTCCATTTTATTTAATCACAATTAGATTATCTACTTCAAAAAACGTATCTGCATCCATATGATTTTATTTTGTTCAAATACTTGACAAAATAGAATTGATTAAATTGAACACACCAATTATTTTGAATGTAAAGTGAGCCTCAGGTAGTTGAGGGAATGACGACAGAGCCGCCATCTTGAACCGGGAGTCCTTCCATTCACCACTGCTATGCTCCAATACATGACTGGTAATTATAACGCCTCAAATTGTATATCGATTTTGGCATTCATTTGTTTGTTCGAAACACCAGACTATGATGCCAGATGCATGGGTAATTTTATAACCACGTCACTGAAATTCATTATTAACAAACTATTTTTGACACTGCATACTGTAATTGGTTCATTTATCATAACTAATTAAAAGTATGCAATTTAAAAATGAGAATACATTACTATTTTATTATTACACACATAATTTTTCCTACCCCTGTTGGACTGAACCTTGCTGGGTCCCACATGGACTCCAACTCAGCCCTTATTTATGACTATGCATAACAAACACACACGATGTGATAATCGTGGTCATATTTCGTGCATTTAGAGTGGAGGCTCAGTCCAAGTTGGCGATGATGCGAGAGAAAGCAGAGAAGGAGCTTGCCCAGTACAACACAGAGATGAGGGAGCTGGAGAGGGTTATTTCACATGAGTCTGGCCTCAGAGACTTTATCACCACCAAATACAATGAGAAGATGGGCCAGGATGTGACAGAGCAAGGTCAGAGATATACAGTATTTGAAACGATGCTGTGAAAGTTTGCCTATCACTCTCCCTCGTTGTGTCTTCTCATCTAACTTTTTTTGTTGTTGCATCAATCAGTCTTAGGTCTGCAGGAGCAGGGAACTAAAGACTTGAGTGAGGAGTCGCCAGACGACTTGGAGGCGTTTTTCCAGAGAATTCAGTCTGTGACAGGAGAGGCTGACCCAGAATTGCTTGTCAGCAGTTTCATCCAAGGTATGTCTCACGTCAGCTTCTACTATACTGTTGAGTCGAGAGCCAGATGTGATCAGGGCATATTTGTAGCACTCACTCAAGCAAGGAACCCTATTTGGTTACTTTGACATGAGCCAAAAGTTCTGTAATGTAATGCATTAGTTTTCTGGGGTTCAAATATTTAATTTATTTTTCATTGTTTACAGTAGTGTAAAACTGGACTGCATCATATTGCTAGCTGTTTCTAATACTTTGGTGACTTTTAAAATGTTGATACCGCTTGTGTCATGTATTTTGCATATTTCACCGGGTATTTTGCTGTTTCTTTGTGCAGGTGAAGACCGTAACTTTGCACTTTTCAACTTTGTAAATGAGCAAAACAATGAAGCTGAGGTTCTGCGGGATCAAATCAGCCAGGTGAGCTGTGTCTCAAAGCATGGCACACCACCACACCATATGCGTGTAACTCCACATCATCCAATGTGTTTCAAATACAGATCCAGAGAGAGATGGAGCAATTTCAAATGAGAGGTTTGCGACAAGAGCAGGACCATCACGCTTCGCTGAGGGACATCGATGCACGGCAGAAAGACGCCGAGTCGCAAACTGAGGACTTTGAAAACCGTGCTGCCGTCTTAAGCAAAGTGCTGGAGGAGGTTAAAACAGGTCTGGCGTCCCCCGTAGATATCATCACACAAGTGCTGGAGGAGGTTAAAACAGGTCTGGCGTCCCCTGTAGATATCAATACAGCAATGGCTTAAACTTGAACCTGCATGTGTACCTAATAATGTGGCCAGTGAATATGCACTTATGTAATACAGAGTAGGAAAGAGTCTTGTTTGATTCTCACAGGAGTGAGCTGTATTGTCTCTAAAGTGGAGTGTGACATGGAGGACTCCATCAGTGACACCAATATTATGCCCTACTTGGGTTTGGTGGAGCAGAAGACCAACCAGCTCCTCACCATACAGGCATTCCTCGATAACAAGGTAACACGAATGTGTGAAAGTGTGAAATTAATGTGTGTGAAGGAACCATACTTTGTCATTCAAACAGCCCAGTGACCGTGACTGTCATATGTTAGTTTTTTTTTCATAGGCTTTTGGGGAGTTCAAGCCCAAGAAACTCTGCCTATACAGCAACAATTAACAAGGCCAAAGTATGATGTTGAACAGAAAAGCAAAACAAAATACAAAAACAAAAATAATTTTTTTAAATTATTTTAAATAATTGACGTTAGAAAAATTGAAATTAAACGAAACAATACTTTTTATACATTACTTTATTTGTATTATTGTCCATCCGTTTTCTACATGTGTTTTTCACACTGTCGGTCACAGGGAGCTCGGGCCGACAGTATCCTAGCTGACTTCGGGGAAAGGGCAGACTATACTCTGGTTTGGTTGGGTGTCCATCACACAGCATATTGAGAGACAGACAACAACTTGCAGGACACGGGCAGAAATTTTTCAGTGAGATGGCTCGTGAGGGGTGGCCGTGCATGCGTGCGTCATTCTTCACCATTCTATCCACAGTCAGGGTTTCGTGGAATAATATTCACACACATCCAAAACAATGCCAATCACACTCAGAATCAAGCAGGAAGTCGAAATAAATGTTTATGTATAGTAATTGGACGCTTCGAGAAAATACTGTCAGTTTCCCATTATGTGTTTTACGCCCCACCCTTTTTCGTACAAAATCACCACTCTGCACACTTGCACAGTATAACTATTGTTTTATTTACAATTACAGGAAACTGGCAAAGACTACCACCCATCCAATCCCAATCTGCCCAAATTTCTTTTTGGCCAAAACCCAAAGACACTCCAGGAGAATATTACCATTCAACCTTCAGTCCAGAGGTTTACATTTTTATTTAAAATGAGATCATTTAACATTTTGTGCACGTTTCATTTATAGGCTTTGTGCTGATGGATGTGTTTTCTGACCTCCCTAGTGTGGATTGTGACCCGGACGACTTGCTTGTCGCGGATGAGGAAGAGCGGCCGCTCTCTCAGGGGGAACTCCGCAGAAGAATATTGGAAGGGGTGAGTCAGATTTTTTTTTTTAAACCGTTTTTTTTTTTTTAAACAGTCTGTGTTACTTAGAAACCGGTTATATTGTATGCGATGGTCTTCATTTTCCTTCCAGGTTACGCAAAGAGAGAATTCAGGCTTGAAGTTGGCAACAAAAATCTTCAAAACGAGTCCACGGATTCAAGAGGAAACAGTGACGGCACAGATCTGAGTGGTAGATCCCTATGTCAGGTCTGATGAAGAGGTCATTTCTAATGTAGCTTGTATACCAGGGGTGTCTGGAATGCTCAAGAACAGAATTGGATTCCACAAACGTATTCAGAGATAAGAGTTGATAACAAATATTTATTAACAGAACACCAGACTGGTTATAGGCAGCTGGTTAACGCGGGAGATTGGTGACAGGTGCGCCTGCTGGAGGGAAACGCGCTTCTCTCCAGTGGGAGCTGAAATATAAAACAGAACCATGACAGACACCTGATTTGATTTCGTGGGCCGGATCTGGCCCCCGGGCCATGGGTTTGACACTCTGTTGTACACGTGCAGTACACACAAAAAGTTAGTGATCTTTGGCTTGCGCGTGAACTTTCAGGATGAACCTATTGTAACAACAGAAATTGAGAGTGACTGGAAGTGTCACAGAAAGAAATACAAGCGGACATTCTTGAAGATCTTCACGCATCCATTACCTGCTCTGAAGTTTGCCATTCAGCTCCTTGTTTGATAGTTGTGATATAAGCACTGAAGCATTGAACAGCATTCAAAAGTTTAGAGAGGGTCAAATGAAGCTAACTATAAAAGTAATAGTGCATTTTAGCTTTCTCCTGAAATTTCACCTGAAAATCTCAATATCCCTAACTTTTGACAAGTAGTGTCGACACTCAAAGTATAATTTTCGTACTTTTTTTTTTGGTGCTTTTTTTTTTTTTATTCATTCTAATCTTGATCGCAATGTGAGCTTATAAAGACGAGCTGCAGAAACCAGCTGTGTTTTTTAAATTGTAAACGGCCATCTGGCTTTGGACCAGACTGTGAAAGTACACTGTTTCACTGCGTGACATTGGCTGCTATGCCCCAACACAAAGGTTGGGGGCAGCAAAAAGCTTTTGTCATTGTAATTGACATGCTGAGATTTTGATTTTGATGCGCTCAACGTGACACGCACGCACGCACGCACACACACACACACACACACACACACCAAACACACACACAAATATATTTTATATATATATATATATATAAAGACATTCATGACCACTGAATTGAGTTGAACCACTTGTTGTTGGAAGATAACCATAACAACAACATATTACTTTACAGCCTCAACATTCTGTATTTTTGACTAAAATAATTAAAAACACATTTGTTTTGACTTTGCTGAAGTTAGCTTAGCACCTTTGAAAAACGTGTTTCTTATTTTACTAAAGATGCTGCGCCACTGAGATAAACAATAACAGTAACTATAGTGAATGTTTTTTTGCACTGGAGCATACATGGGAGTCAATACACTGTTTATGTCCAACCTCAGTATGAGAAATCTCTATTCTGGTCTTTTATTCTACAGCCATTTGAAATGTCATCTTATCCAAACAGCAGCTTCCTGAAAAACTCAAGTCAGTGATTTATTTTTGGATGCTATATTTGTACCACCGGCATTGCGAAACAATTCACAAAGCCTGTTACTATTTTTGGGATTTAAAGGTCACAGACAGTTTTAAAATATTTGGACAATGACAATTGGTAAAAGGGGGGAAAACAATCAAAATGTGATTGAGGTGTCAACTCATAGCTTTAATCATCACTTCTAATGCTTGGATTAGAAATTTGTTCAGAACCCAGTGTGGATTTTAAGAGCAAAAACTCATGCAGTTGGATGTGAAAGACACACATAATGTACATGCACACTCCTTGTTTTTACTCCTTATTATTTGACACCATCTTCCAACAATAGAAACAATACAAACTTATTTTTTCAGTAGTAAGCCACTCTCGTCGAAAACAGTAAAACGTGGAAAATGTTGCCAAATTTTGAATCGAGGAAGAAAAATTGAAAGCCACAACTCCTAATTTTGAAGTCATAAAACAAGATTGTTTTAGTATTGTATTAGTTTGGATGAAAATTGGATATTCAATGCAATAGTTTTCGTCACCGTGTGTTGATTGTGTTTAGTTTATGCAATTTTGGCTGCATTTAGATAAACATTTTCAAAAATGAATATTAATCTTTCATTTTCTATGCAGCTTGTCCTGATTGCAGTTGCAAGGGCTGGTGTCTATCCCTTCACAGGGCACCTACATAGACAGACAACCCTTCACACTCACACCTATGGAAGAGTTTGATTCTTTGCGCAATCCCAACATGGATGTTTGTGGAATGTGGGAAAAAGAGGGAGAATGTAGGAGAAAACTCAAGTCAAGATTTGAACACCAAACTTTAGAACTGTGAGACAGGACATACATTATTTGTTAGCATTAAGATAAAGGGACTCGAGTATGGCTAAGATATGTGGTTGTTTTAAATCAGCAAGGCATATATTTTGTTTCAGTCTTAGTTCGACAGTTAATGTCAATTGGGATCGAAATAAGAAGCTTGAAACCACTTTTTGGGAGAACTACCGAACGGCTGCTTGTCGTGAAATGAGTTGAGCTCGCGGCCACCTTTCAGTTCTCGTACAATATCTCGAATTTTCATTTGCAAGTCAAAACAAAGTATCGGAAGAATGACAGCTTGTATCTTGAAAAACTCAAATTGGCTCAGTCGTGTCACTTTATCGGGATATTGAATTGGTACCTCAATATCCTCTGGTCAAGTGAACTGAGCGACGTGGTAGTGCATAAAAGACAAATGTCATCGAAATGCTGCATCAAATACTTCAAACAAGAGAGCGCACATAAATGGGTCAATCTGATGTAATCGACTGGAGCTCGTGTTGCTTGAAAGATTTTTTTTTTTGGGGGAGGATGTGGAACTATTATTCCTACCATTAGGTTGAATGGTGGAGCAATGGCTTGGTGGGCTTATTTAAGATAAACCCACTTGCAGCCTCGGCTTAAATAGATTACATCAGATAAAAGGGGGCGCCGTGGAAACAGCGAGCAGAGAAACGTGATGGAGGAGAGACTGGCGTCTTTGAAATTCTACTCTCGCCGCCAACCCCTCCTCCTCTTCGTCCTTCCCTGCACACGGCCCTGCATCTCCATAGAAACCCTCCCTTGTTAATCGCAACACCAGTCTCATTTCCTGCTCCTGACAAAGAGCCCTCAATGCCCGCCTGGACTCACCTCCTCCTTCTCCAGCAGGCTCTACCTATAGCGAAAGTAGTGTAATCTCCACCCCGGCCCTAGCACTCCCCTCGACGGTAACTTTATCGTCTCCTTTTTGCTCAGCAACTTCCTATTTGCACACCTTGATTGGCTTGATTGTCTGGATTCTTCACTTTTCTGCTGTGGAACCACACCAGTCACCGAAAGTGTTTTTTGGGGGAGGCGCGAGAGACTGAGCGCCCTTGCATGAACTCTATGCGTTTTTCCGCAGTGTCTTGTTGTTGGGGAGTGGAAAAGACCTTGTTGCCCTACTATCTTGGCTAATAAAAAAAATGTTCCCGGTCGGTCTCCCTCGTTGCCCTCGTCCTTGTTTGTTTATTTGGGAATGTTGCCAGGTAGTTTCCTCCGCCTGCACCCGGAGCCCTTCCCTCCCCTTGACGTATGTATAACACAGCACCCCCCCACCCCGCAGCCAATGCTACTGCCACCGCAGCCACCAGCACTCCCACCCTCCCTTCTACCCTCTCACCCACATCTCAGGGGGTGTTGCTAGGCAACCACACACCATGAGCACGTTTCCCAGCCAATCAGATTGGTGGAAACATTTTCAAACGCCCCCCCCACTACTAAATCAAGTCAATCTTTATCTATGCAAATATCGTGTTCTGCATCTCTTTCCTATAAATTATTCTTCGACATGTGCCAAATGTCGACCGCTGGGTGGCAGCACGGCGGGTTTCTCCTGATGTATTTCTTTTCTTCCCGCTGTTGCTAAGCAATCCCGACTGTCATGTTTTTACCTGTGAAACATTTGGAGATCTTTGCAGATATCCCGGGCACCATTTTGTCTTTGTGCGAACATGAAATCGGCGTGTACCGATTTGCACGTGTAACTGGAGTTTCAGCAAGAACCTTGCCTCTGTGGCGTAATATTTGGTTTCGGTTTGACTTCTTTGTATCAGGCTGCAGACAGGAAATATGCACTTGAGTTATTCGGCCTGCAGCTCTCCTTGTCTTCTGACAGAGGAAAGAGAGTCCCGTCTTTGTTTTCTGATAACTTCTAGCATCTATGAATTCATGTTGTTATTGTTGTTGTTTATTTTCACTTCCAAAAGCCCCCCCACAACACCCCCCCCCTTGCTTCTCTCTCCCCTGTGTGCGACTCCCTCGCCGTCGCTGCTTTGGTTGCTGTGCAGATGGCTCTTTGTTGGAGTTGCACAATGGAGCTAAGGTCAGCGCGCCTCATGCCACGAGCGCACACGCTAAAGTTCTCCTCCAGCTGCCTCTTGTCTTTTGTTTGAAGTTTTTTTTTTTTTTTTGTACAGCACAGCCAAGGCACGCTTGCTCTTGTTGAGGTATTGCATGAGGTGAATGCTAGAACCTCTTGCAGCAGCGAGTGCGCAAAAATTGTCATCAAGGTAGCCCCCAAGCCCACTAGTCTGCTCTAAAAATAGCTCACCAGTGATAGGATCGGAATGGTATCAAAGTGGTCATTTGAAATTGTAAAAACTTTCCGAATCATTGTTTGTCATGAGTGTCAGAAATCATGAACAGGATTGGTGAGCCATTCCAAACAAACTGTTGTTCATCAATAATGTTGAAGTAGTCGAACCTCTTGAATTATTCACCGTAGTGTAGGATACTCCAGATTCTCAAGAGCCTCAACAGAGCCCAGTGGTTTAAAAAGCACTCAACATTGGTTCTTACATTTGAAATGAAATGATTAGAATCCCACGTTTTGTGTAAGCATGAAGTTGTTCCAACGTGGCTGCACAAGTGTGAAGGGCCATGATGTCTGGGGGCAGGTAAAAGTTGGAAGGCGGGAAAATCGCGGAAGCGGGAGGAGACTGGGAGGAGGAGCGCTTCTTGCCATGCTCTGAGAATTACTGGAAATTTCCACTTACACACAGACGCGGGGAGGGTGGAGCTAAGAGGTGAAGAAGGTGGATGGCGCTCATCTCAAGTAGTTCACAGAGGAGAAAGACATAGTTCACCGCAACTTTTACAGTTAAATTCTTCATGAGAAAAAAACAAACAACAATCACACAATTTATGGACATACAGCACGGCAGAAAGGCATAGGAGACTTCTTGATTTATGGTTGTTTTGGGTTGTTGCCTTGGTAACAAAGCCTCCAAACTTGGCCCAGTGGCATGTTCCTTGGTGCTTTACATTGCCCTCCTAGAGGAAAAAAAAGAGGAAGATACCCAGGATTCCTCTGTTATTCCAAGGAATCGGATTCCACAAAACTATCCAACACAGCAAAAGCAATAAAGAAATAAATAAAACCTAAAACTGCAGGGAGTTAATATTTTAGATCTTCCCTGAGATGAAGTCTCACAAGATTTGCTGGAGTGCAACACAGCCAGTTTCATTTTTGGTTCGTCATGGTCACAGTCAAATTAGTCCCCTTTTCCATCACTGGTGTCCTTAGGTGGAGCTTTCACCAAAAAAAAAAAGCCAAAGAACAAGCACTCGTCCCCTTTTGTTTTTCATTTAGGTTTACCAGCAACCAAATTAGAGACAGCAATCAACAGCCCCAAACTGCAATTGTCATTCATGTAATTGTTGAGTGTGCAAGCCAAAAACATGGCTGTACAAGTTTATATACAGTATAACCAAATTTTTCCAAAAGCAAAATGCGCCATTTCAATCTTTCTAAGTCGATAGCAAATATATCTTAAGTCCTTTTTCTATTCTTGGAGCAGTTCCAAACAGGCACACTCTAGCATTCTGCAAATCCTCATCAAAGCATTAATCCTTGGAAGCAACATGAAACAAGAAAGTCAACCAGCAAGATCGGCACACGCCTTGGGAATGTTGACATCGTCTCCTGAGCCACACTCAGTCTGGTTTCCAGGCATCTGTTTTCAGAGAACACATTTTTAGTTGAAAAATTGATATTGCTCGCACGTTGCAACTATTGCTGAAAATCCAGCGAAGCAAAATTTCAGACAACTAAAATCAAGTCAACTTTGCTCCCATTTTGAAGATGAGTAAACTCACCAAATTTGGCAGATTTGTTTAATCCTGCCATCGCTTCGCAAGATAACATTTGGGAGGGATGTCTGTCCTGAGTCAACCCATAAAAAAAGTCTCAGGGATGAATGTCTGAAAGGACATAAGAAGCTGACATTTTGGTTTGAAGGTGACATCTTTAGGTTGTTTTGGTCATTTCCCAGTGCCCTGTACTAGACGGACAGGCAACGCATAGTTGCTAAGCATATGCATTTTTATCACTGCGTGTGGGCGGAGCGTGGAGGCCAAGTTTGACGACTGGTCATAACTTCAAACCAACGTAAAGGTTCCACCCTGAAGATGTTCAAAGACGTTCTCATGAAGCTCCGATTTCGTTTGAGTCCCCGCTGATGCTCCTCCCTACTTTAGCGCACCCTCGTCTTGGAGTGCGAGTGCCCGTTCATCGCTGCTTTAATTTGTTTTTAGAATTGCGTCGTGGGCCTTGTCAAGTTCATCGCAGGGCGCATATGGTGCACCATAGGGTGCACAGGCCTGAGATTCTCCACCCTTGATCTTTTTTTATTTTATCATCTATAGTGATGGTGTATTCAAGTAAAACCATAAAAACTCACACTGCACTTAATTATATGTTTAAATTATTGATTTTCACGCAGGTCAATATTAAACCAATGACACGTGTCTAATTATCTATTGCAGTGATGCCCAACCGGTGTGCCGTGTCACATTAGTGTGCATCGAGAAATCATCAGGTGCGCCTCGGTAAATTATCCAATCTCAAGGTATTTGGACCTACAATGGTTTCTTTTCTCTTAAAAACAATGTTGCGTTAATTGATCGATGCCACCCACGGATAGTACATAATGAACCTGTTTATCCAATTTTTTGTGAATCGTTTTGCTAAGTGGTGTGCGTGGTGAGTTATTTTTTTTTCCGATGTGAAATATGTGCCTTGGCTCCAAAAAGGTTGAGAAACACTCTCCTGCTTATTGTGAGTGTAATTTATGTTTGTTCCATGCGGATATTTGAATGTATTTTTGTCTTTCGATATTATTACAGTAATAGACATATCAGTCAAGCCCCCTGTGATCCCAAGTGAGAAGTCAACTTTATGTTGTCCCCCGAGCACCGCAGGAATCGCCTGACGACAGGAGAAAGGCCGCTGAACCATGCGGGACCCCCGTAGTTCAAAACAAAAGAGCTCAGATTGCAGCCACCAATTCTTCCAATTATCAGGCCACACCCTCCCTTCCCCCAAACCTAATCCTGACCCTTGCTCTTTGAAGGGCCCCTACTTTGCTTGGGGCGCTGACATTCCACAAGTCAGGTCAGGCCTTTTGTGCTCATAAAATGGAGGTGAAATGTAGGCGCTAGAAACCGACTTGCCATCCTGATCATGTCACTGTGTGGGAGAACAGTCGGGGGTCTTGAAATAATATTTCCACACTTGCATAACATAGAGAAGTTTGTTTTTTTGTGAATGATTCTTTTCGCCTTTTGCCATGTTTCCCCCGCCCCTCCCCCTTCCCCTCGTGCAGCTGGAAAAAGCGGTAGACAGTTAAACTGTTTGTACAATTGCCTGTCTTTTGCTTTCTTTGCTGGCTACCTGCGCATGGACTGCACACAGGGCCTCCATTGAGCCGCACAAAAATGGATGGAAACAAGTTGCGGTAGGCAAATGAGGAAGGAGAGGAAATTATCTCACAATTCACCCATCCAGACACCCCACCCACCCCCTTCCCCCAAACCTTCACTCATCCGCCTGATTCTATTGGTGCCCACTTTCCACTCTTCCAGATTGGTGAGTGAGTAATGCCTTCTGCCATCCCAGAGTTACTCCCGTGTCTCTATTGTAGGCACTCAGGCCATTAGAAGCTTCGCAATCTGCACTTTCCTAAGAGGGTTCGAATTTGCAGAGACAATCTTATCATTGATTTGACTTTTCTTGGACTACAGTCCAAATAAAACCTCATCGGAATTACTCGATAAGTCCCAAAATATTTAGCCTGGTTCATGTTTATCATAGATACTGAGGGTCCTCTGTTTATGTTTGCATTTTGGTCAAGTTTTAACAGCGTGGAGTTGAGTTCTTAGAGATTTGTGTTTTATTGTGAGTCATTAATCTTTGCTGTCATGTTCCACAAACAATGAGAATAACTCAAAATGACCAAAAAATGGGCGTTTCACACCAAAATGGCCGGCTTCCCATTTCTTTTCAGGCATAGCTTCTTGAAGCATTTTTGTGGGTCCGCTCATGATCGGCATGACAAGCTAATTTCATGGACAGGGGTCCTCAGTTTACAACAAAGAACATATTACGTACAGAAGTCGGAATATGGTGTAACTTAAATTAATGCGGTACCACTGTAAAGTCATATTTATAGTAACTATTTGTATAAAAACACTTCTAGGCCATAAATGCAAAATATAATAAAAACTGAACTCAAACTACTTCAATGCATCCCATTTGAAACCTTGACAATTATGAAGATACATACACAGTCAAACTACAGATTTTAGATTGGAGTTCATTTTTAAATATTGCATTACATTTCTCCTGGCGGTTGCACCAGTCTAGTGTAATGTCTAACAGACTGTAAGACATTGGATATTCATGTTTTGAGAGAGCTTTGAAATAATTTTCATCTACAACTTTTTGGCAAAATGTAAAAACATCTTGGGCCATTTACAACCAAAATATACCCACTTAACAGATCAAATGGATTTTAACAACAAAAAAAAGTGGCAAACGTATGAATCATTTTGCATTTTAACTAAATGTACAGTGGGTCCTCAATTTACAGCAGACTTCCATCCCTAATGTGGTGATGGAACCCAAATTTTACTGACCTCACAATGTGCTGTTGTCAATAATTTACTTAGTAGTGCAATCATAAATTCATAATTCTAGTAGATATTGGTACATAAAACATTCTGAGGAAGAAATCAAATTACAAACTACTGTGGTAACCTCAAAATGTTTTATGTCAGGACTGCTGTAAACCGAGGACAACTGTCAGAGATGCATCATATTTTTTCATGAATGTATCACGGCCTTCAGATGACTAAAAATGCATTATATAAAAAATAAAAAAAAAAAGTGATTTTTCTTGACTGTGCACAAGTCAGCAATCCAAATGACACAGTGACGAAAGAGGTCCCAGATCCTGCCAGCCGCCTTTGAACACTGCATGTAATTATTTTTTGTAATTATATTTCTGAAGGTGAGGTGAGTCACTAAATAGGCTTATGGCCCCGAAGGCTTCCTTGAAATCTGCGGGCGGTTGCAGCAGTGGCGGGGAGGAGGCGGATTTAGAAGAAGAAAAAAAAAGGGTGGTGAGGATCCCAGGAGACGTGCTAAAATTAGACGCTTTTGACAAGATACCTCGCTTGGGGTAAGTTAAAAAAACATTTTGAAACAAATATACTATGTGAAACATGCTACTCGTAATTTGTGGCCTGAAACGCTGCAGTCAACTGCACAAACATACTGCATGAGCCTCTTTCAAACGAACATCCTGCAAAATTGGCTGCCTTTGCCCTCAACTCAGAACTCAGTGAATATTTGAAACAGTGACCTGGCAACATGCACTCAATTGACTGGAGTCAGCGTCTGTTCTGACGTACAAAATATTTTGCATGCTCACACATGTGTCATCCTGCCTCTGTTAGGCCTCTCGTCGCTTTTACATTGCCGGTTAAAGTTGACGTTTGCATCTTTCTTCCGTGCCCTTTGTTCAGTACAACTTGCAGTCACACAGAATGAGGAGGAGGGGGAAGGGGGCAATTTGGCAATTTTCTGTCTTTGAAGGTGGTATCAGAGCCTAGTGATTCTGACGTATACTTGAATTCCGCAGTGTTGGAACATGGGTGTGAAGTTAAGTGCCCAACGTTCATTTTCCCAGGCCTTTTGTGGTGAAAGCAATTGTTGCCATCCAACAGCGGTGTAATTAGACATTGCGTATCTAAAGATCATCCGCCCTCGTGTCTGTGATCTGTATGTAAGGTACAAGCATGGAATGGGGTTTTAGAAGTCGACTTGTGGAATTTCCGGCTTCTGAGCTTGTTGTATCAGAAGGACTTTGTAGGGCTGTGTGAGAGGCAATTCTGAAAGCAGTAGGTTTTATAATAAAGCAATATAAGAATATACAACTGAATGAATATCATTGATGGAATTAGTGGAAGCCCTGTACTTGTTTCTCTTCAACGAGCTGTTCTCATCTTGGGGAAATGGGAAACAATTACACCCTCAATCTTCCTTCACAAAGATAGGAGAAATTGAATCAAAGTATTCCGTGTAGTATTTATTTATTTTTTCTTTGGGCAGTGTCTCTGTCTTCAAGTCTGTTGCCACATATTACGCAGAGCAGGCCGGGTGCATGAGAATAACCAATGAAAAGTAGTGTTACTTTTCATTTATTTTCATCAAATTGAGTGATTTAGCTGACCCAGCTCACTGGGTCAAGATTTTGATCCAAATGGGGTAAAAAAAAAAAAAAAAGTGATTTTTCTTGACTGTGCACAAGTCAGCAATCCAAATGACACAGTGACGAAAGAGGTCCCAGATCCTGCCAGCCGCCTTTGAACACTGCATGTAATTATTTTTTGTAATTATATTTCTGAAGGTGAGGTGAGTCACTAAATAGGCTTATGGCCCCGAAGGCTTCCTTGAAATCTGCGGGCGGTTGCAGCAGTGGCGGGGAGGAGGCGGATTTAGAAGAAGAAAAAAAAAGGGTGGTGAGGATCCCAGGAGACGTGCTAAAATTAGACGCTTTTGACAAGATATCTCGCTTGGGGTAAGTTAAAAAAACATTTTGAAACAAATATACTATGTGAAACATGCTACTCGTAATTTGTGGCCTGAAACGCTGCAGTCAACTGCACAAACATACTGCATGAGCCTCTTTCAAACGAACATCCTGCAAAATTGGCTGCCTTTGCCCTCAACTCAGAACTCAGTGAATATTTGAAACAGTGACCTGGCAACATGCACTCAATTGACTGGAGTCAGCGTCTGTTCTGACGTACAAAATATTTTGCATGCTCACACATGTGTCATCCTGCCTCTGTTAGGCCTCTCGTCGCTTTTACATTGCCGGTTAAAGTTGACGTTTGCATCTTTCTTCCGTGCCCTTTGTTCAGTACAACTTGCAGTCACACAGAATGAGGAGGAGGGGGAAGGGGGCAATTTGGCAATTTTCTGTCTTTGAAGGTGGTATCAGAGCCTAGTGATTCTGACGTATACTTGAATTCCGCAGTGTTGGAACATGGGTGTGAAGTTAAGTGCCCAACGTTCATTTTCCCAGGCCTTTTGTGGTGAAAGCAATTGTTGCCATCCAACAGCGGTGTAATTAGACATTGCGTATCTAAAGATCATCCGCCCTCGTGTCTGTGATCTGTATGTAAGGTACAAGCATGGAATGGGGTTTTAGAAGTCGACTTGTGGAATTTCCGGCTTCTGAGCTTGTTGTATCAGAAGGACTTTGTAGGGCTGTGTGAGAGGCAATTCTGAAAGCAGTAGGTTTTATAATAAAGCAATATAAGAATATACAACTGAATGAATATCATTGATGGAATTAGTGGAAGCCCTGTACTTGTTTCTCTTCAACGAGCTGTTCTCATCTTGGGGAAATGGGAAACAATTACACCCTCAATCTTCCTTCACAAAGATAGGAGAAATTGAATCAAAGTATTCCGTGTAGTATTTATTTATTTTTTCTTTGGGCAGTGTCTCTGTCTTCAAGTCTGTTGCCACATATTACGCAGAGCAGGCCGGGTGCATGAGAATAACCAATGAAAAGTAGTGTTACTTTTCATTTATTTTCATCAAATTGAGTGATTTAGCTGACCCAGCTCACTGGGTCAAGATTTTGATCCAAATGGGGTAAAAATTACCCACAATGATGAGTTAAAGTTACTAAGAAATGGCTTACCAGGTTATCAGGATAGCTGTGGTTAAAAAGACAATCGAGCAACTTTCACCTAAACAAGTAACATGATATGTTTGGCATATCTTGAACACCAGACGCCCTTCCTGATGCAACCCACCCATTTTCCATGGGTGGGCTGTAGGCCCTGACCGAAATTTGAACCCTATTCCCGCTGTGTCCAAAGTTAGCTGTGTACCAACTAAGCCATCCAGCTGCGAACCAAAGTCTGAGAATTTTGCATTTAATTTATTTTAATTTACATAAACGGAAAAACGGCAACCAGCGTGTGAGTGTGTGTGCTGTAGCGATATTTTACGTAGGACTGCTGATATTCTCTGTTATAGGCTTTTCTTTGAAAGCACTGACTACATTTACTGTACAGGCAGTCAATATTCGGGTTAAAGTCGAAATTCGGTTTCGGAAACCTTCGGGATAACCCATGGTAACTATGCTCAATTGGAATATCCCGATCCAAACCACAAAGAACGATTAACGCTGTGACGCAAATAGACGTAGTTTCCGCTTTGACTGTCCACCATCAATAAAACACATTACTGTACATTCATGTCACTCATCACAGGAATGAAGCATTCGGTTTCCTCCTGGCTCGAAAAGTGTGGTTCTGTGCTGCGTCTGCATTTCGGCATGTTTGTTTACTGCTTGAGTATTTCTAGAGTCTGGGTTTTGCTGGGTCTTTGTGTGAAAGAGGCTTCTGATACTAACGCCGAAGCTGGGTCGACTTCCTTTCCGCATCAGTGCTGCAACACAGAAAAGGCCGGATTTTACAGGCAGTGAGAAAGCAGCTTTAGTTGAACAACAGCTGGTAAACAATGGTAGATGTTTACTTTTTTTTTATGTGCAGAAAATAATTGCAGGTGACACAGCATTAACATTTGCAGATTCGTATCTGCCTTGAAAGCTATTCGTTCCGCTTGGTAATTTACAGTGAAAGGCCTTCGGCGTGCCGGCCTCATTTGAAGCGGTGGGCTCGAGCCAGGACGGGCGCCTGTTGTCACTTCCTTTGGTTTAACAGTTGGATGAGCCAGTTGAAGAACGGAAGTAAACTTAAGGAAGGAAAAAAAAAAACAGGTTGGTCGGGTTATAAAGCTTAGTCATTAACAGGAAGAAGATCATTTGTTTTCAAATGTTTTCACTACTGTTAAATTGTATAAAAACACAGAAAGAACTAGGTTCGACTTGTTGAAGCAGCACATTTGTATTTGCACGTATGCCACAAATGCAAACACATTTAATTAATCGAAGATGAGGGATACATTTGATTTGGCAACATACTCTTTAGAAATGTTACTATGCAAGGATGGCTGACAATTATAAGTCATGTAAATTACGGCCTTCACCCCCGCCCCTACACACACACACACACACACACACACACACACACAAGGAGGTGAAATTGTCATCAATTTGCCACCTTTAAACCATTTCCAACTGATATTAGGTATTTCTTGTCCATCCATCCATGTATGTTCACATAAAGTAGGATGCAATACAGACCTTTTTTCTTATTAAAAAACAAAATTAAACACCTTAAATACTTTTTTTGTTGCTGTCGTTTGTAAGGTTGGAACAGATTAGCGTCATTTCAGTTCATTTCAATGGGGAAAGATGATTTGAGATCGTGTTACTCATTATGATCACGGTCACAAAATGAATTCTTTACAGCTCTTGTGTTAGATAACAATTCAATCTTCACATTAGAGGGCGTTTCACTGTTTGGTTGGTCATGAATAAAATGATCGTTCAAGAAAAGGAAACAAACACGTTTTGGTAGACATGACGCTGCTTCATAGCAAAGGCGAGTCATTTTACACACACACACACACGCACGCACGCACGCACGCGCGCACACACACACACACACACACACACACACACACACACACACACACACAAAATGATTATTATGAGCCAAGTGACTGCTGCCACCAACTCATATTCCCGGGCCAATTTTTGTTCCCAGCACATCTCTGCAGACACTTTCTGTTTTGTTGTAATTTGACACCAATAACCAGAGAAAGCTAGCATTGAAAAAGTTGCCGTGGTCACATCACAACAATTAAAAACCTTTTTGCTTGTTTAACATTGGACATTTCATTTGGTCTGTAAACTGAATTCACGTTTAATATCTTCCACTGGTGTTTGAATTAAACTTGAATTCATTCATATTTTAAATCACTATTTTTCCAATAACTCAAACCATTACTACGGTACTTAAAAAAATCCAGAGACAATTTTTCAAAGAAGTGCACGTTTTCAGCGAGAAAATTCACAATTCTAGAGAGAAATGAACAATTGTTCGACAGATCCAAACTTCAAACCATACTATCCTGCTTTACATAGTTCCTCCTCAAGTGTAATTTGACACCAGTCTTCACAGAGTGTGCTAAAAAGTAAATACAAAATAGTCCGCTCGGATTTTTCACATCTTCATCGTGCCTTTATAACAAACGTTTAATGTTAAAAGTTCGGCTAAACAATAAGTCGTTGGCAACTTTAACAACTTGCATCCCATTGTTTGAATTAAAAAAACGCAAAAACCACAAAAAAAAACCGTCATAGGAAAGCGGCGCTTTAAAATCACTGACCAATCAACGACAAATTGTGACCTGAAAGGCGGGTGCTTATCCGAGAACTGGCGTGGCGCTCATCCAATCAGACGCCAGACGCGTTGCTGCAGCCCAATTGGGCGCCGAGTTGAGCTTCTGCCTCCAACAAGAGTGGTTTTCAAGCAGCTCCCACAGAAAAAGCGGAGACGGGCAGACATCATTTCTCCCTCGGCGTCACTGGACTCGTATCCGAGACGACGACGACAAAAATCCCCCAAAATCAGGAATTAAACAATCATATCAACTCACTGTCAAAGTAGACATGGCCGACACAGCTGTTGACACCACCGCAACTGCAGAGGTTACAGCCAAGGTGCGTTTCATTCATTTTGTCCTCACGCCGACTCGTCACCTTTTATGCTTAAGAAGTTGATAAAGTTGCAAATGTTAGCTACGGGTCACCCCTTGGCTCTTAAAGAGATAAAATGGAGGTTTGGCAAGTGCATCGTGTTAAAACGGCGATTAAAAATAAACCTCGACGCTTCCGTCGAATAGGGACTGTTCTTGAGCGTTTTTAAGCCTCGTGTGTCGTTTTTAGTTGAGAACCAGGCGTTTCATGGCGTGTATGTTGCCTTTTTGGTGGTGAACATGGACAAAAGGGCCGACGAGAAAGCAGCCGGTGCTTTTTACTGTGGGCGGGAAAAGCACGAGAAGCCCTTTGACGTCTCACGCGCGTGCGCCGCGGAGAACGAGGCGGAAAAAAACCCAGTGAATTTGTCTGACAAATTAATCGAATTTAAACCTCGCGGGCCTAAAGCACGGTTGAGGTAAAACCGGCACTTAAACTCTGAAAGAAGAACGACGGCACATGTTTATGGTCTTTTCCCCCTTTTTTTTAGGAGCTGAAAGAGAAGAAAGAAGTTGAAGTGGAGGAGGAGGAGAAGACAGACAACGGGGACGCACCTGCTAATGGAACTGTGAGTTTGCTGGCAGCTTTCGCCGGGAGAGAGGGAAAGGCGGGGGCGGGGGGCTTTTGTCTTATGGCGAGAAGCCCCCTCGTCGTGCAGGTGTCGCCATTCTGCCTGGGCCTCGTGCTCTTTGTGTGCCTTGTGGAAAATGGCACAGATGTTGGCAAGCGAGACTCCTCCATTGGGGGTGTCCTCCCAGAGAGCCTGCTGCTTCTGGTTTTTAATCCTCTGGAGAGAAGAAAGCACCCCATACACCCTTCCCTATTCCTTCATGTTTCTGTGGAGTATTATTCCAACTACCAGGACTACATTTTACATTTTGCTCCCTCAGAATGGTGCAGACCACAGTGACAAAGTTGATGATGCCGCAGTAGAGGAAGAGCACAAGAATGGAGATGGTACCCTTTTACTATCTGTTCCTGTTATTAGTCTCATTACCTTGAACTGACATTCGAGTTTGTTTGAAGAACACAAATGCGACTTTTTTTTTTTTTTGCAGAGGAAGAGGCGCCCCCTGCTGAGGAGACGGATGCACAGCCTGTGAAGCGTGCTGCCGATAAAGAGGAGGTGGGTCACGTGTGCCGTCTCCATCGTCACCATTTTTCAGAATTTTTTTTAAACCCAGTTTCGAAACCAATTGACACCTCCCTGCCCCGAAAAATTCAAAATATGCTAATTCCACATTTTCCTGAAGAAATTTTGCATATTACAGGTGAAATTCAATGAATTCAGGATTTCTCAGCAAATTCAAACTGCTTCAATTACCCCCAATCCCACCTAATCCTTACAAAAGGCATTCTACATTTTCTCAACCAATTCAAACCTCTTAATCCACCAATCCTCCAAAATCTTTAAAAAAAAAAACAGCACATTTCCTTATACATTCATGAAAGAAATTGTTAACTAGTGTGTGTCAAATTAATTGATTACTCAACAAGTAATTGATCATCAATTACAAATAATCAGAAACTATTTTAATAATGGAATAATCATTTAGCACCATTGTTTAGTTTAAAATTGTCCAAATCTGGTGATTTCAGCCCCCAACAATAATTATCTAATTTCTGTAGTCCTTCGTGAAAGCAGACTACCTGATTTTGTTTTGTTTAGTCACAGTAAAGGATTTGCAAACATCTGTTTTCGCTGTGGAAAACAGACCAGACCCGTCCAGTCAATGAATTGTTTTCAAAACTGTTGATGAGTACAACATCGAAAAAAAACATGAAAAAGTTGGATTTAAATAATTGTGACTTCACACAAAATTAAACATTCCAGAATTCCTATGTTTTGAAGAATTCCACAAAAATTCCCAAATTGAGGTATTTCCTACGCTTACCTCAATCCAATTATACATTTCCATTTGTTTAAGGTTTCATCTTCCACATTTCAATCAATTTTACACTTGGGAATTTTTCAAGTTTTGTTTTAAACAATTCATTACATTTCGCTGTCCTCCTTGCTTGGTAGGAGAAAGTGGACACCAAAAAACAGAAGACGGAGGAAAATGGAGACTCAAAAGAGGCGGAAGTGAAGGCTTAAAAATGGCAGTTCTGTATGCAGCCCAGTCTTACTGGTCAACATGGTGTTGTAGAGCTTGTGCTTTTTCTAGGTTACCCCAACTCCCCTCCCCCCTCTTTTTTTTTTTCCTCCCATGTTCTCACATTGCACTGGAGTTGTGAAACATTGTGGCCCTCTTCTTTTCCCTATTTTTCTTTCTACAAGATGTTATTTATTGGTCTTTAAAATGAGCATTTTTTTTGTATGTGTGCAAAACGGGGCCATTCTATGACACGAGTTGATTTCCATTTCCTTGCTTCTGTTTGTAAGCACAACCTCTATCAAGTCAGCTCTGACCAGCCGATTGCTTAAACGTTCAGGCAGCTGCTCACGTTCACGTCAAGGACCAAAGATAAGTTTTAAGCTGGGGCTAATAATAATAAACGTTATTAGTTGATGCGTAATCTTTTGTTGGTGTTTAAGCTGCTAGTTAATCCTCGGCCGCCCTGTTAGCATAACAGATGGTGCTCATGATATTAAGGGCCTCCACGCCACTACCATTTTGGTTGGGGTGGGCTTTCTGTTGTTTTGCCAACATTAATTAACCCCTCTTAAATCTTAACGCTTTGGTCTCGTTTGTTCTGTATGCATTCCACGCAGGTTTGTACCATTTACATTTTTTTGTTGGTTTGTTTTCCCCATTTTCTTACGGAGTTTACATTTATGGCTGGGTAACCCGCTTTTGTGTCCAAGACTGCCTCTCTTTAACATCCAGCCGTGACATCGGGTTACTTCATCCACTGCTTTGTATATTCTCAAACAAATAAAATGTCTTTTTACTTAATTTTCTACTCTGTGTGTTGGTGTGTACGGTTTAATTTGTCTTGAATGTCCACCGTGTATGTGTCTGTCTCGCACTAGTTTTTAGAGCGCAGAGTGCGTGTGATGTGTTACTGTAATGTCTACTGGAGAATGTATGGTGTGTGCATAGTATGTCTTGAGTAGTGTGTCTGTCTTAGACTGTGCGTCTCTCTTTTTCGTGACATGACTGAGAGCTCCTCATTTAGATGACGTCACTTGACCCACTTCATCAAAATGTCCAAGAAGCGGAAAGGAGCAAACAAACATCCTGGGCTCGTCCGCTATATGGTGAGTTTGCCATTTTGTGTTGTTCTTGGAATATAGTGGGTATAGGTTATGCCATGACCATGGGACAAAATGATGGACTGGACTACATGCTTTGTATTAATTTTGTGCAATTCTCATTTTAAAATAATATATTCGCTCAATATTAAAGTAAACCATATCATTGATCCGCTACATTGTAATGATGTGATTACCACTTCCAAGTAATGTTTAGAGACGAGTTTTCATTTGACTGTTGGGTTAACTGTGTAGTTTATTGAAAAATAAAATAAAACTTTAAGGTGTAGGCTGTAGGGAATGATTCCAAACCCACAACCGCTATTGTGACGATGGCGAAGGGGGCCGACTACACTTGTCCTTTGGCTCCCCCGTATGGCGCATCTGAGTAATTCAAGCTCAAATGCACATTCAAATCAAAATGGATGACAAAACAATTGACACACGAGTCCAAAAACGATCGATTTTAATTTGAAAAGGCTTTTTTTTTTAAAACATCCTGAACAAAGGAACTATTGTATTTTTTTCATGAAAGAAAAAAACGGAAGCTGCTTCTGTACATGTAGTCAAATATTGACATTCTGCTGATGAAGCATTAATCAGTGATGGTTTCTACAAATTGTTGAATTGGGATGTTTGCCTGTGTTTGAATAGGAAAAAAATGGCTTCCAAATGGTATTCAATGTAATATTTGCTGCTGGCTTTAATGCACCCAAAAGAGTCTTTGGCTTTCAGTGCTGTCCACCTTCAGTGGAGGAGGGGAGGGGGGGGGTCTCTGTGTGTTCTTCTCAATGTTGATGTTCACACCCCAGTTTCAACTTCTCCTCTTCCTGATAATGACAAGAATGACTGCCATTATTACACTGGCCAGTCAAGAGGGAGGGTCACAGCATATGACCAGCGTATGCAGCATATTGTGGCTTTCAAAGTGACAGAAACTTTGGGGGGCGGGGGGATCCCGAACACACATCCAAGTGTGTTTGTGTCTTGCTATGCTCATGCTAACTCAAACACATAGCAGCTCATGCAAGACAATTAATGAAAAGAAAAACATGTTGTATGAAGAGTAATAATTCAAGGGTGGGGGGATGACAAGCTCACCCGTGACCCGAATGAGGACAATGGCGAAGGAGCATGGTTGGATGGATGAAAGGGAGCTGACCCGGATAAATTCAGGCTTTGGATGAAGTTATGCCGTTCAAATCAGTCCAGAATCATCACGTATACTTTTTGTCACTTATTTTCTGCAAAGCAATGGGTATGCTGTTGTTCGTCCATTAACCAACTTTCTCAGGCAGGGTTGGCAAACTATGGCCTGTGGCCACACGTGCGGCCCACTTTTTCCCTTAATTCAACCACCTAACATATATATTATCAACAGTCCCATCGTATTTGTTGCATGAATGTAGTTAAAAAAAAAAACTAAATCCAATTAAATAATGGTATTCATAGTTTTTTTTTTATATTTACATGTGATTGTTACCTATAAACAAACAAGAATTTATTAGTTTGTAGTAAATGAAATAAAAATAGTACAATAAACAATTGCAAATATACAGTACATGTGATATATTTGATTAAATGGTTAATTGTAAAATGTAGAAATATTTAGCTTTTTTTTCACTGAATTATTGTAAATAATGCAATAAAATCATATAAACAAAAAAAGAGCATTTTTATTTAGTTGAAATACGTTAAATCAGAACGGAATAATGAAAACATGAGAGGGGGAATGTAGCCTAACAGCATGATTGCCTTAATCACTTAAATTACTGTCACAATTGCAGAAAATAGCAATGTGCTTGCTGAATTTTTTTTTCCTTTTCGTCATAGATTGTCAGACATCCAGGATATGGAAATTCACAGTTTGATTCAAGGCAACTCCATTCTTCCCGTACGTTGACTTGTGTTTTTCCTTGTTTTCCGAAAAAAAAAAAAAAAAAAGAAACATTTGGGCAAGTATTCTATGAGGCTAATGACAGTTAACATTTTACATTTATATTAGTGATAATTTTGTTTCGCTTCATTTACAAATATTCTCACCTGTCTGTCCATTTTAAAAATCACATGTAGCTATTGAACATCTTGAGCAAGAATTTGCCCATTCCATTTTTGGGTTATGTTACTAGCGTGAGGCGGATTTAGCCAGCTAGCCTAGTTACGTGCTCCCGCTTAGGTCTACCTATACACGTTCCCCGCCCCGCTGTAAAGTAGTGATTCCCATCCTAAGGGGATGCTATACAAAATGCAAAAGTGAATGCAAACGCATGAGCATGAGCGCACACACTGTATGAACACAATGTCTGTCTGTCTGTGTCGTTGAAAGCTGTAAAATTGCCTGCTTGTGCTGTACAGTGCGTGGCAGGATGCGTCCTATCGGAACTAAATTTGCGCCAGCAGCGGCCGTGTCTCGCTTTCGGCGGGCTCACCCTCCGCGGCGGGCAGCTGATATACAACGCAGAGGGACGAATATGCGCAGCCCACAAACGACATCAGGCTGGCGAAGTACATCACCCCCTGGGCGCCGCCCACAAGCGACGTCAGGGGTCCCATCGCCACCGAGACCAGGATCTGCGCCAGGAAGTACTGGCAGCTGAGCAGTGAGATGTCCACCCCCATCCCGCGTCGGGTGCCCTCTTCGGATGAGCCGCAGAACTGAAAGGTGGAGGCGCAGAGAAAACGCTCTAAAAACAGGTGGGTTATTTCATCAACTCAATTCATGGGGTGTTGGTGTTGGGTCAAATTTCTGTCTTATTTTTCTGAGAGTAACCATAGAGAGTAGTCATATGAACAATATGCGAACCCAATTCCTGTGTTCTTTGTCATATTTTGGGGTCAAATGTTCTGAGAATAATGAAAATTAACCCATTGGTTATTTAGTTATTCCTACTAGAAACAGGAAGCATAAAGTGAACATTTGTGGTGATCACAGAAATTTAGCCTGATATAGGTTTCATTGATCATATGCGAGAATGACTTGACGTCATGTTTAGTGGACGTCTTCATTAAAGTAAGGAACCTTGCCTCATATCCCTAAAATATTTCTCTCTCCTCTCGTCTCACGACTCTGGTGATATGAGATGATAAAATGAAGTAAAAATATTTACTTCTGTAAAAAACAAAAAAAAAACTGCACAACCTGACATCTTATTTTGGGGGAACATTACTCATTGTGCTTTGTGTGCATGCATGTTACATCATGGATGCGTTGGATTCACATTCGTTTTTGTAACGCAAACCAGTACATAAAAAGTTCGTATAAAATCCGAATTGGGCATTACGCCCTGCTGTAAAAACATAGCCGGAGATATAATTACTTGGCCCATGTTAGCTGGTGAGCTAGTTGGTGGCTAGCGCCTCTTGTGGTGTGAAAAGCCTCGCATCGACCCAGTGGAATATATATGGAATATAGACTGTATTCCGGCCCCTGGTGGCTTTGAGAGGATAGTTTCACAGATCAAACATGTCGTGACGTGTCGGCATGAGAAAGATGCTAGATGAAGTAGCATCCATTCTTTAGCAGAGAGTAGTTACATGCATTCAGCTTTTGAGAGGGTAGAAAATGGTTTGATTTTTCATCACAGTTTTCATGCCTCATCTTATATACTTGGTGATTTTTTTTTTTTTTAATCATTCAAATTTGGCAACAACACTATTTTCTGTGGCATGTCAAATTTAGAAGACACAGGGCTCCAGACTAAGTTTTTTTTTTTACTCGGAGGGCAGTGGCCCCAAACCTGAAATTTTAGTGGAGCAAGTATAATATTAAGGGGCGCACACTGTGAATGACCTTGTGCAAATATTCATATTTCCATTATTTTTTACTATTTTACTGATACATGGACCAAAGTGTTGAGCAGAAGTTTCTCAGCAAAAAAAAAAAAAAAAAAAAGAATTAAAAAAAGTACAAGTACATTTCCTGGTTGCACGTGCGCAATCAGCGCGAGTAGATTTACTTGCACTATCTGAAATTTTAGGGGCAAAATACCACCGTGTAGAGCCAGTTTGGAGCCCTGAGACATTTATCTTCCACTTACAGGGGCTTTGACTTGCTTTTGAAATTAGGAATTGACACCAACCTTTTTGTAAATGAGCTGAATGGCTTTTAATAGGGTTACATATTACTCAGTAACCTTCTAAGGACAATGGAAACTCTCTACGCATAGTTGAAAGTATTACCACAGGTGATGTCAGCAAATCCCATTAGACTTCAGACTAATAAGGATCTAAACTCCATAAGTGTGTTTTGCTTTTTGGCTTGTGTGTGTGTGTGTGTGTGTCGGTTTCGATGTGATATGCCACCAGGGAAGAGAGGAAAAGTGTCATCATATTCACAGGAAATATAAAGTACTGCGACATAGAGTCTAACTATATTTTTTACATTGTTTGCCTTCAGTTCTTGTTACGCTTGTTTAATAATGCTACCCAAACCATTGCATGTAAAATTAATAAGAAGCCTGGACCAAATAAACTCCTTTTAGGAAGCCGCTGCACAAGAGTCTTCAATGTGATCACACATGCAATCCTGGGACTGACCTGAGGGCTTTGGTAGTATTCACACAGCAGTGAGTAAGGCAGTGTGCATAGCGAAGAGAAGAGCACCCCGTAGGTGACGCAAAGGGACAGCACCACGTAGAGGTTGGTGGACAACGTGGCCAGACCCGTACCCAGTCCAAACGCCAGGTACGCAAAAAAGTAGAGCGTGCGCAGAGAGAAGCGCTCCTCCAGTTTCTCCAATATGGCTGGAAATATACAACAAACAAGGCAGATTAGGACAGAATTAGGATAAATCAAAATGTGTACATGACGAGGCTCGGAGGTGGGGGGAGTGTGGAGACTTGCCTGAGTAGAAAGCAGCGCTGAATGCATAGATGCACATACCCCAGCAGCCCATGCTGACCCCAGCGTTGTAGCGCTGGTAGGCCTCGGAGTCGTGGGGCGCTTTGGGGTCTCCTTCGAATACGACCTCCCCCATGAAGTCCGTGTAGAAGAGAAGCATGCCTTCAAAGGACAGCCAGCCTGCAAGAACACAGCAGGACACATACTGTACCCTCAATGGGACTTCACAATTAAATGTCACAGTGGACCCTCCGAACCGAACGCTATGCGAATAGAAGGAGAAATGCCCGCTTGCACTCTCTAACATTGTACAGTACTTTCCAAAAACAGTTTTTACAACAATGGTATACACTAATTAAATATAAAGTAAATGAATGAAACATTTGTTGCCACATGTTTTGCTTCAATAATTCAATGGCCATTGTGCTGTTCCTTCTGGTGTGCACATATTGGCCATCTCGGGGTAGTATAATACAGACATACAGATATAGTGTACATGGAGATGGTCACAACTCAGTAAGCTGCAGTCATATTTGTTGTTCTTTACAGATGATAAAGAATATACGCCAGTGAGTATGGTAACATTATCTATGTGTTGTGTCACTGTTTCTGTTTACAGATATGATACTTTAAGGGTTCTAACACCGGGAAAATGATGCTTATACGTTCGCCCTTCAATGGCACCATCCACCTTAATAAAGGACAACCACTCGAGAAATTGGATGGACTTCAGTTAGATAACTGAGTTAGAGTTCCGTTTCATCTCTAAACGGCAAACTTTTTTTGTCCATTTCATTCACTCACCCAAAAAATGGTTAGTGCATAAGCTGCGCAGTGAGGGAGGCATCCGGTAAATGGCTATACACAAAAGTTTCATTGACATCTGAGAATCCCCCGTCTCCGCATTCTCGCTTAGATCGCTCTCGTAGCGCACGCCGTTCAGCAAAATGTTTGCAACCTGCAACACACACACACACACGCACGCACACACACACACACACACACACACACACGCACACACACAAAATAAATAGTATGCGTTTGAGAAGTGTGTTTGTGGATAAAATACATTAGCAGACCATAAAATACATGAGCAGACCGTCAGTGCAAGCAAGGATTTGCCTGCTGGCCTAAACACTATCAGAAGCACTGACCGACATGTATATTCTAAATTATAATATTTGTACCATTAAACTGTACGAAGTATTAATTTGTTCTGAAAAATATTTTTTTTCACTTTGTAGAATTTCTATTGGCTATTTTTTTTTTTTAACCAATCAGATACAGCCTATAAATGCTGCCATGTCAATCTAATTTGGTAGTCAGGTACTGCCACTGGTAACGATATGAATTTAATTTGAATTATTTTTACCTGGTGGCTAAATGTCACAGTTCTCCTACGTCCGTTCTCCATCCCGACGATCTGGGTCGCTATAGGCTCCTCCATGAGTGCCAGACTCTGGGGTCGCTTCAGGATTCCGGTGGCGGACCCTCGACGTGGTTCTGGACCGGGCTGCGGCCCCGATGTGACCTGAGATGCTGTTTGGTACTGTGGGGCACCTTCTGTGTCTGGTTGACACACCCTATCGGGTTGCCTCTCTGCCTGGGTGGACTCTTCTGGGGCAGGGGCGTCACCCGGAGGCATGGATATAGAGTTAGGGGCCAGGAGACCCTGTGGTGTCTGTTGCCCCGTGTAGCAGTCTATGAGAACACAGTCTATGTAGGAAGTCCCCAATGAGGAGGCAAATTCATTGATACCGATGAGGGAATTGTCCCGACTTATAAAGCTGCCATATTTTGGCGTAAGGGGGCTCATGGGTGATATGGGGCTCGTGAGGCCGGCGCAGAGGCGGGCGTTGGCACTGCAGGAATGCGCCAAAGAGTCAGGGTGGCTCGAATTTGACAAGCAATAATCATAGTGACCTCCCTCGCTCTCGTCGTCCACTGCCAGCTCAGATCCCGGTGGAGCAGGCGGGGACGGAGGAAGGAGAAGGTTGGGGCTCTTCAGATGGTTTTTGCTGGAGGGCTGGCTCTTTGGCAACGCTCGCTCGGGGATACTCGTAAGAGTCATGGCTGTGGCGATCACCAGGGTGATGCTGGTGAACATATAGATGACCCGCAGCTGACCTCCCATTGACTTTCCGAAATGGGTTTGGTCCCAGTTGATGCCGCCCACGATGTACCCGAAGCCACCTCCGAGTCCTGTGTCAAATGAAACAAATTTGTTTGGCATCCCGCAAACAGGGGTTTGAATCTCAACTCATGACCTACGGTTAAAAGCTTATCTGAGATAGACCTAAACCACACATACCGATAATTAACCTGAGTTTTAGCCCTCTCTCCCATATCTTAAAAATCATTAAAACGTTAAAAATCGTAACGTGTATAACGCACTCGTGCTAGCTGTCGAGCTCGTCTAGGATGAAATATGAGTCAACCCGAAGCCCACCTGCCAGCAGAGCATGGATGTTCAACCCCCGATCCTGGTCCTCTGGGCAGCACACGTCCATCATGTAGGCGTGACTCGGATTGTCTGCTGAATCTGCACTGAAGTCCATCAGTACCACACCGCACACAGTCAGTATGATACCCCATTTGTGATTGGAAGCCGTGTCCGCCAGCGCTCCTCCGATGTCCCGCCCGTTCAGCACCAGAGTTAGACCGACCAACGCCCCTGGAGGTAAATATGAATACTAGTTTGGGGTGCAAAACCGCCCCCCACAAAATCTGTACTCGTATGCGACAGGAAGCCTTAATAATAAATGATTTCTCTGTGCTTTTCATGGATGATCTATTCCATAATCCACATGAGGGATTAAAAAAGCAACACACCGCCTACTCTCTACATCTCTTTCAAGTCCCTACTCAACAGTGCAAGGCTAAATCACAGAGACACTAGTGTGTCTTACCTATTGCCAAAGCGAAAATAAACGGTCTCCGGCGTCCAAACCGGGATGTGCAACGGTCACTCCAAGCTCCAATGAGAGGCTGAACCAGGAATCCTTGAAAACAAAGACAGGCCACAACAATAATCATGACATAGGGATTCTCAGATTTAGGGTCCAGTTTGCATCTTCTTGCCATGGCCCTTTGGTGTGAATTTGAGTATGAATAATAGTCTGTGTGGATCTGCCCTGTGGGTAGCTGGCGGCTAGTCCAGGGTGTGTTGTCTCTGGTGGGATAACAATTTCGATGTATACATCACCTTTCAAAAGACCCATAGAAATGGACTGTATACCAGTCGGAAGCAGTGCACATTTAGACAACCAATGGACCGCTCATCAGGCAATCACATGGCATACAGAGACACAATGGTATCCTTGTCATCGACAAACACCGGACTGGTCAACGTTACAAGGACAGTGACAAACCATGGACTGGTCGATGTTCAATTTCTGAAAAGATATCACACCCTGGACATGTCGCTAGTCAATTACAGGGCACATACTGGAGTGTAAATAGTGCTGGATTGGTTCCAGCTCATCTGCAACTCTAATATATATGTATACATGGGCTAAGTGATACCACTACGTGCCCTGTGATTGGCTTGTGACCACGGTGGACCACTGCTTCTCTCGCCAATAAGGCTGCTTAAAAACGGTCCGGCTAGGTAGATACCAGCTAACACAAGTTTGTAAAACTCTGGTACCTCGTCGACGGCCCGGTGGTCAAGTGGTTAGCGCGTTGACCTCACAGTGCAGAGATACTGGGTTCAATTCCAGCTCTGGCCTCCCGGTGTGGAGTTTGCATGTTCTCCCCGGCTGGCCTGTGTGGGTTTTCTCCGGGTACTCCGGTTTCCTCCCACATTCCAAAAACATGCATGGCAGGCTGATTGGACACTCCAAATTGTCCCTAGGTGTGAGTGTGAGTGCGAATGGTTGTTTGTTTCTGTCTGCCCTGCAATTGGCTGGCAACCGGTTCTGGGTGTCCCCCGCCTACTGCCCAAAGACAGCTGGGATAGGCTCCAGCACCCCCCGCGACCCTTGTGAGGATAAGCGGATCGGAAAATGAATGAATGAATGGTACCTAGTCTTCGCCCCTTATCCCAACTTACCAAGAATGGGGCTAATAAACCACACCAAGCTGTAGAACTGGTCAGGCAGGCCCATCTGCAGAAGCACGGGTGTCACATAAGCCGTCTCCATGGCGTAGCTGAATTCGATCCCGAACAAGATGCAACCGTTGAAGAGTAGCTCCTGGAAGGCGCGTCTTGGGGGCAGCTCGCTGAGGTCTAGTCTGTCCAGGGGACACGGCGTGTTGGGTGGCGGAGGGGGGGAAGGTCGGATCAGCTTCCGCCGCTTGGGCTGCCGCTGGAAGTTGTTGGCACGGTGACTGAGGAGTCGGGTGGAGGATGTTGGGAAGCTGGCCGTCTTGGGCAACGAGCTCCTCCAGAGTCCATCTTGAGCCGAGGGTAGCCTCCCCATGCCGGGACTGGCCAGGAGGGGATCGCTGGGGGTACCCATGCCCGGAGATGACATATCGCTCTCAACGCAGCTTACTCTGCAGCACAGTGAGCAAAAGTCACAACTGACCCAAGACATACGCCAACTGAGCTCCGGCCCCGAAAAAAATTAACAGTCAACAGAGTCTCTTTTCAGGGGACAGAGACAAGTCCCGCTGCGACAAAAAAAATGGACTAATTGACACCCCCTCCAAACATGTTGATCATTTCCTATTTCAATTGTTTAAACTATAAATGTACCACATGCTTTGATTTCAAAACACTTCATTTCAACCTCATTTTACAACATTACTAAACACCAATTAGGCTACAACTTTCCATTTAGCCAGAGCGTTGGCACCAGCTTGGGGCATCTTAGAGCATAATAGGACAAGCTCAAGTACTGTAAGTAGATATGTTTCTTAGTGAATAGCTGAACATCAGTTCCACAGAGAGAGAGAGAGAGAGAGAGAGAGAGAGAGAGAGAGAGAGAGAGAGAGAGAGAGAAACAAGATACAGTACAGGCAACAAAATACAGTACATGCATACTGAGATGAAGATAGTTTTTGTTTGCTTTATTTTTACTAAAGCTTTTACACACTTTACATAGTTTTAATATTTAATTATTACACTTACTATTTGTTTTTTAAAACCATTTTTGTCACCTTCAAATACCTCCGTTCAGTGAAATTATTATCATCAGAAGTCTTATTTTTTCCATTGTGCCAAGCAATCAAAACGGGTATTGTATATAACTGGCAGGAAAAAAATGTACATATTCTTCCACTTTACAATACAATACAATACAATAAAATACAATACATGCTGATTTATATAGCGCTTTCACAACATTTAGTGCATAAATACATTTCATACTCAATATTTTTACACTTTTAGTCACTGTAAATGGATGAGTTGAATCTGTACTACTTAAGTATAACGAGTGTGAATACTTTTGCCCCCACTGGTTTGTAGTAGGTGTTTGAATGATCAATAATCAGTATTAATGGCAGAAATAGAGACGTGGGCCGGCTCCAGAAGTCATTGCTCATGGTCATAAGGGGGCGGGGGATCGGGGGTGGGCAGTACACCGGTCAGGAGGACACTGCAGACACCAATGCGCATGTAGCTGCGCATTACCCATGTGCTCGCCCAGTGTGTATGCGGCATCGTGAAGCCTGCTTCCTTTTCAATATTTCATGCAGGAAACTGGATTTAATGGCGCACCACACCATACAAAGACAAGCTCGTCTTTACCGTTCAAATTCAAATTAATCCATCGATGTAGTTACGCAAAGGAGAGAGACCACGCAAAAAGACAAGAGGTGCAAATTAAAAATAGATAATTACCTTGTCAGGCTTTATAGCCGCGCGACGCCTACAGAGCGACCATGGTGGTTTATAAAAAGAGGTGTCAGATGGATTACGGGAGCCATGCTAGGTGCTGTTAGGTTCCTTTGATGCAGTCACTCCTTTAACTGCCCCCC